GCTCTGGCGTAGGCTGGTCCATGAGGTCACGAAGAGTCGGAGACGACTGAACGAATGAACAACAACATAGGATTCCTCAGGCAGAAGGTGACTTTGACAGTTGTTAGGAACTTACTAAATGTGCAGTTTATGTTAGATCCCTGCCACTACCGGAAAAGGCTATCCATTTGCAAAAGGTGATCTATAATCATGAAAAATGTTAACATGTTTTTAACAGATACGAAATTGGAGGCTTAGACAATGCATTCTGAAGACATGAAATACATACAATCCTGCTCATGACAGAGTTCCAAAGGCTAGGCTAATACAGGACACAATTATTTTATTCTTCAATGCAAGCTTCATGAATTGCCCAGGGAGCACTGAACAGAGAATGCTAAAAAGAGACAAAATTGACATACCTGTTTAACTGTGACATAACCTTTGTTGCAGTCTGCTTTTAGCTGTACTAAAAAGAAAAAACAAGAGGAAACATCATCAGAATGATAGAGCAGAACAAAAGGCCTGCTAGCCAACATGCAAGTGAAAGAGAAAAAGAAGCGATGCTTGAATACAATTTAATTAGATACAGGAAATGGCTTTTCCAAATCATGTTAGTGTACACTACACACACATGCACTAAATTTCTTCAGGTTTCAGCTGCTAGCTGCAAATAGGTACATATGGATGCAAATTACCATTAAATTGCTTTTTTTCTCATTCTACTATTCAGACTGCAAAAGTTTTTTTAATTATCCTAGGAATCTCATTTTCTAACAATGATAATGAGAATCATTATGGGATTCAATGTTATTTGAAAAGTATTTTTACTTTACAGGCGGTCTCCAAGTTACAAACAAGATATAATCTGTAGGTTTGTTCTTAAATTGTATTTGTTTGTAAGTCTGAACAGGTACATTTTAAAGTGTATCTCCATTCAAAAATAGTTATCTTTTGGTTTTGGATAGCATGGGGAAGGGGTCAATACCCCAGTGATGTTTGCTTTTTATCCATGTGATCATTTAGATTTTGGAAAAATGGGCCTGTTGTGCAAACAAGGATTGGTGAGAAAGCTACAGCAGAGACACCTTTCCCCCATAACTCTTCCAGGAGTGAATTTCCCTTCTAAGAGATAGATTTATCTCACTTCCTGTTGTCTCACTCCCATTCTTATCTATGAGTAAGTCGGATGTTTGTAACTCAGGGACTGCCTGTATTTTTAAAACTATTATGATCTGTTTGGACCTATATCTTGATTAAGACAGAATCTAATAAAAGCTGATAAAAGACAAAGTGTAAGTCAGATCCCTCCACATAAACAGAGCACCACAAACAAATAAGAGCAATGTATAAAGAGACAAGGAATCTATTTAACAGAGGAGCAGAACCTGGGGAATCCAATCACAACAGACAACAATCAGGAACCGTGAGTCAAACAGTATCTAGTTTCTGTTTGAAACTAGATAAAGTGTGAGCTACACTGTCACAAAATATCCTTGCTTGCCTCTGTGAGGTGCTGGAAGTAATGACAACAATCATGATTTTTCCCCCCCTTGTTACAGCCAGGAGATAGAAAATGGTTTCTTGACAAAAACCAAGTGAGCTTAAGAGTTAGGTTCAAATCAGATTCTTAATCAAACCTGTCTCTTACCCAGCACACGATGCCATCTATCCTAGTTCCCTATTTGGCATCAAAGCACTTATGCCTCTATGCCAACAAAGGCAGAAATCAATTCACAGTGCAATCCTAAGCATATTTACTTAGAACAGCATTTTTCAACCTGGGGGTCGGAACGGACTCCTGGGGGGTCGTGAGGGGGTGTCAGAGGGGTCGCCAAAGACCATCAGAAATCACAGTATTTTCTGTTGGTCATGGGGGTTCTGTGTGGGAAGTTTAGCCCCATTCTATCATTGGTGGGGCTCAGAATGCTCTTTGGTTGTAGGTGAACTATACATCCCAGCAATTACAACTTCCAAATGTCAAGGTCTAATTTCCCCACATTCCACCAATGTTCACATTTGGGCATATGGAATATTTCTGCCAAGTTTGGTGCAGATCAATCACTGTTTGAGTCCCCAGTGCTCTCTGGATGTAGGTGAACTACAACTCCCAAACTCAAGGTCAATGCCCACCAAACCCTTCCAGTATTTTCTGTTGGTCATGGAAATTCTGTGTGCCAAGTTTGATTCAATTCCATTGTTGGTGGAGTTCAGGATGTTCTTTGATTGTAGGTGAACTATAAATCCCAGCAACTACAACTCCCAAATGAAAAAATCAATCCCCCCAACCCCACCAGTATTCAAATTTGGGTGCATTGGGTATTTCTGCCAAATTTGGTCCAGCGAATGAAAATATATCCTGCGTATCAGATACAGTATTTACATTAAGATTCATAACAGTAGCAAAATTACAGTTATGATGTAGCAACAAAAATAATGTTATGGTTGGGGGGGGGGGGTCACCATAACATGAGGAACTGGATTAAGGGGTCACGGCATTAGGAAGGTTGAGAACCACTGACTTAGAAGGAAGAAGTATTAGGTTCAACAGGATTTACTTCTAGGAATGCTTAAGGTTTTAACCTGTATCTCTACTTTACCTTGTCTTCGTGAACATTTCTTGTCTGTTATCTCTGTTTCAGGGCCGCGCCCTATTACCACCATTTCTAAGTGCGGCAATTTAATTCGTTGACAGCTTCTATCCTTGCTCACTAGCCAACACACACGCATTGTTCTCAAGGGAAAAAAAGAAATACCCCATTTTATTAGGTTTTAACTAGAGAGAATGATTGATAGGTTATACAGAACATCCATATTCTATTCCAGAGTAGACATAGGATAGGGATTTAACTTAATCTTAAGAATCTGTCTAGGTATAAATGGGAAGAAATACAAAGGTGAAAAATATTTTCCAGACAAAATCTCCTATTGAAAATGTTGATCTAACTCAGGGATGTCAAATTCATTTTCATCAAGGACCCCCATTCAGCTTCATGGTTGCCTTCAAAGGGCCATTTGTAATTGTAAGACAATATATATGTAACTATGTTGCACTGGCATTGAAACTTCGTGGAGACACATAAAATGACCCACGGAACTTGCATTTGACACGTGTGATCTAAATTTATGTCACACTTGAACTGTGAGAACTAATTACAAATAAACAACTAGGATGTGTACACAAAAATGCACTGTTCCCTGTCTCAAGACAACAGGAAACAGGTGGTGAGTGACAAATATTTGTTTACATGTGCCTGCTCTTCTACACAGCCTGCAGAAAACAGAGAGGCAAGGAGTGATCACAGACAGCAAAAATCCCACAAAGCCTTTTGTTTTTATCCTTAGTCTTGTCTGAATGTCCCAAAGCCGTGGCAACCTCATTTTTTTCCTGGTTTAAAAAATTATTAAAAAGCCAATAGTTATTCTGGTTAGTTTACAATATCTCTAGTGCTCACAACCTTCCAAAATCTAATTACCACAAAAACATAAATAACAATTGAATCTGATATAGAGGGATCTCATTCACCTAAGATTTACTATCATTTAATATGTACATTTTAAGTACAACCGTTAACATAAAATCAGCAAACCACAAATTAATAGCGGTTTTCAGCAAAATAACTGGTTCAACCTGGAGCACCTCCCTCCAAGGAGAAATTCTGTCAACTTTTATCAACTTCTCATATGTATATCTCAAACTTTTCATTACTGAAAAACTTGAGTATGTATATTCAAAGCGTAGAATGTTTCTGGAGCTTTTGTCATAAATATGGCTTCAATGACAGGAACTAAGCAGCTGAATTACGGTAGAGACATCCACAGCAGTTTGGTTCCAGGGCCTCCTGTGGATACCAACATCCATGTTCAAGTCACATTTTATGCAATGAAGGAGTAAAACAGTATTCCTTATATAAAACGGCATAGCCAAGATTTGCTTTTTGGAATGTTTTATTTGGAGAGGGGATCTTTTCAAGGAGTGGATGGTGGATACTGTGGATATGGAAATCTGACTGTATATTCTCAACTCTAATTGTATTAATTGAAAAGAGGGGGCAAGCCCTAATGCATTCAATGGGACCCGTTTCTAAAAACACAGGTTTTTTAGGAAACAGTACAAAGCTCTTTATGCAAACAGTAATTTTTGAACTGAAAATATGGAAACATTTTTGGTTTCCAATGTGAATACTTCAGTAAGCTAGGATCTTTTTTTAGTTTAATATCTGAGCACAAGAAGAGCTTATCCCTTTCCTTACTAGTAGGCCTGGGGCCTCTTCCACACAGCCCCATAGCCCAGAATATCAAGGCAGAAAATCCCGCAATATCTGCTTTGGACTGGGTTATTATTGTCCACACTCAGATAATGTGGGATTTTCTGCCTTGATATTCTGGGATATTGGGCTGTGTGGAAGGGCCCTGGCCCTCAGGAGACAACGAAAAGTCTACAGTTGGCTCTAAGGGCCCTTCCACAGACATATAACCCAGAATATCAAGTCAGAAGATTCCACAATATATGCTTTGAGCTGCCATGTATTCCAGTTCAAAGCAGATAATGTGGGATTTTATTAAGCTGTGTGGAAGGGGCCTAAGTTCTTGCTTTGTAATCCACACATTTGTTATTCAATGCACATCTGTAAAAGCAACCTGAATAATAAATAAAAGTGTGTTTCTGAGAATGGACTTCTGAAGAAGGTAGCACAACCCAGTAATTGGTTAAGTGAGACTGGACAACTATTCAAAAATGTGGGGCATGAATGATGGTTGAGGCCCCTTCCACACAGCTGAATAAAATTCCACATTATCTGCTTTAAAGTGGGATATATATTATATTATATTGCATGTAATATTACTAATAATACTACAATATAATGGTATAGTACAATATTGTTGTTGTTGTTCATTCGTTCAGTCGTTTCCGACTCTTCGTGACCTCATGGACCAGCCCACGCCAGAGCTCCCTGTCGGCCGTCACCACCCCCAGCTCCTTCAAGGTCAGTCCAGTACAATATAGTAATATATAATTCTGATATTGTACTGTACTATGCTAATAATACAATATATTGTGTGTGTGTGTATCTTGTAAGTTGCTCTGAGTCCCCTTCATGGTGAGAAGGGCGGCATATAAATGTTGTAAATAAATAAAATATGGCAGTGTGGACTCGGATAACCCAGTTCAAAGCAGATATTGCGGGATTTTCTGCCTTGATATTCTGGGTTATATGGCTGTGTGGAAGGGCCGAGAGAGGCACACTTGGCAGTAGGTTTTTGCCCAAGCCAGAAGAGCTCCTTCCACCCACAATAGCTAACAGGGAAAAGTAAGAACCAGGTACATCCAAGGACGCAGAATTTATTTATTTACGACATTTATATGCTGCCCTTCTCACCCCGAAGGGGACTCAGAGCGGCTTACAAGGTATATATACATACAATATATTATTAGCATAGTACAATATCAGTTTTAAATATTGCTATATTGTACTTTATCAATTATACTGTAATATTATTAGTAATATTACATGAAATATAAATATATAATTATAATATCATATTAGTAGTAGTAGTATAATATTGTATTATATTATATTATAAATATTATATGTATATACAATATATTATATATTATTTTATATTATTAGAATAGGGTTTGATGTTTTAGGATGTATATTCCAGTTCAAAGAATATGTGGGATTTTATTCAGCGGTGTGGAAGGGGCCGCGTCCATGCTGCCATATAATCCAGGTCAATGTGGATTTTATACAGCTGTATGGAAGAAGCCTCTGATTTGGTTGTGGCTCCAGTTTCTGAATACAGATTATCTGCTTTGAAGTGGATTATATGAGTGTACAATGCTATATAATCCAGTTCAAAACCGATAATATAGTTTCAGAAACTGGATGACGTGGCAGTGTAAATGGGGCCTGAGAGAGAAGCATACCGTATGTTGTTTGGAGAGTAACCAATGAGGAATCTGGGTAACTGTGTTTAGAAACCTGCCATTCTTTGCACGAACACTGAGGCATGACCACCTTGGATTGTCCAGGTGCTTAGGACTTCATCTCCCAGAATTCCTGAGAGTGGACTAACCTGGCTGGGGCTTCTGGGAGTTAAAGTCCCACAAATCCTTGGGCGCTCAAAGATTTGTTTACAAAGAGTAACAGGGGTGTATTCTCAAAGCCAATGCCTCCTGAGCCTATCAGTGATGTCCTGGCAATTCTGGCGTCCTTCGCTCTCTGCCCCTCCTCCCCTGAAACCCAAAGAGCTCTTCCTCATCACGCTCGCTCCTTCCTTCCTTCCTTTCTCCCTTCCCGCCGCTTCCGCTCACCTCCACGCGGCCATCACCACTGCCGCAGCCCCGCCCCCTCGCACGCACTTCAACTACGTTAACCAATCGTCGCTCTCCTGGCCCGAGCCTCAACCAATCAGCGCCGTCCTGTGGTGCCCGGCTTAGACGTCTCCACCCCAACTTCCGCGCCGGAAGGAAGCTAGTCCGGTTTGGGAGGAAAAAGAATACCACGGCTGCTTCCACACAGCTCAATAAAATCCCACGTTATCTGCTTTGAACTGGAATATATGGCAGTGTGCACTCAGATAACCCATTTCAGAGCAGATAGTGTGGGCAGAAAGACTTGATATTCTGGGTTATATGGTTGTGTAGAAGGGCCCCCAAAGCCCTTCCACACAGCCATATAACATAAAATATCAAGGCAGATAATCCACAATATCTGCTTTGAACAGGATTATCTGAGTCCACCTTCCATATAATCCAGTTCAATGTGGATTTTATACAGATGTGTGGAAGGGGCCTCCCTTCCACACAGCCCTTTATTTCAGAGTATCAAGGCAGAAAACCCCACAATATCTGTTTTGAACTGGGTTGTCTTAGATATGCAGATGATACCACTTTGATGGCTGAAACGAGGATGAGCTGAGGAGCCTCCTAACCAAGGTGAAAGAAGAAAATGCACTAGGGCCTTGTAAAAACCTTCCCTGGCTGCCAGCACACTTTCCGCCCTTCAAAGAAAGCAGCCCCAGCAGCTGGGAGCAGTCCAAGCGGACATCCCTTCATTAATTCTGACGCACGTTGCGCAACTAGGATATGGGTTCCAGTTATGCGTAGGGTCCCAGCTATCATACTTTTGCCATGCAAATCATGCAACCCTCCTGCCTCTTCACAGTAGCCAGCTAATACAGTCAAAAATAATGCTGGAAGCTGCAGTCCAGTGTTACCAAGAAGGTTGCATAAATCTCATTAAAAGTAAACATATATTATCGTCATTCATTTCTACAGCAGAATCAGTGTACATTGCACTTCACGAAGTAAGATAATAAAGAAGACAATCTGCCAAAGACATACAACAACATGCACACACTTACAGATACGGGAAGGAAGAAGTTATGCAAATACAATACAATTATAAAATTAATTATTCAGATTTTTTTTAAAAAAATACAATACAAAGTAAACTCACAAATGCATGTGACATAAATATACAAGATTGTGAAACAGCGCTTTGGAAAACAAGTTTTAATTGAAAGTTAAGCACAGGGAGTGAAGGAGCAATCCATAAAGATTCAGGGAAACAATTCCAGAAATTTGGAGCAATAAATTAAAAAAAATAGAAAGCTTAGTGAAGGAAGAAGAAATCCCTGTCTGAGTGAGAAGCCATGAGTTCCTAGCATTTAGATCCTGAGCAGACTGGTAAATACAAGGGCTGAGAGATAGTGGGGAACTGGGTCATGTAGGCTTTAAGAGTTCGGCTAAGAAGCTTGTATTTGAATCCTAAATGAACTGGGCAATCAATTAAGAAATATAAAAAGTTATGTAACATGATCAAAACAATAGGCCAAAAATAATTTTAGCATTTGAATATAGATCAGAAAACAGTGGGTTAAGATGAGCTGAAAGATCAGGTGAAAGATGATTACATTAGAATCAAGTAACAGAGTTGGAAGAAACCACATGGGCCATCTAGTCCCAACGCCTTGCCATGCAGGAAAAGCACAAAGTATCCCTGACAGATGGCCATCCAGACTCTGTTTAAAAGCCTCCAAAGACGGAGTCACCATTACACTTCGAGTCAGAGAGTTCCACTGCTGAGCAGCTCTTACAGTCAGGAAGTTCTTCCTAATGTTCCTTTTCTGTAATTTGAACCCATTGCTCCGAGTCCTAGTTTCCAGAGAGGCAGAAAACAAGCCTGCTCCTTCTTTCAGATATTTAAATATGGCAATCATGTCTCCTCTCAATCTTCTCTTCTGCAGGCTAAACATACCCAGCTCTTTAAGACACTTCTCATAGAGATTCATGGTCTCCAGGCCTTTAATAATTTTAGTTCCCGTCCTCTAGACACCTTCCAACTTGTCAGTATCTCTTTTTAATTGTGGTGCATAAGCTCTGCCTCTCAAGCACAAAGCCAAAGTTCCACCCCCCTCAAACACAGGGTCTCAAGCACAGGGTCTCAAGCAGAGGTATTGGGTCGCTAGACACCAGAACAGCCACAAAGCCTTAAACAACACACTCACCACCTTATAAACAGCCTTTAAACAAGAGACAAACAAAACACTCGGCTTTCTAATGCACTCTAAGGGACAAGGCTTACCTTGAGCTAAATGGCTTCCTGCTTCCTCTTCAGTTACTGGAGCGAAATATTGAAAAACTGCCTGAAAAATAACCAAAACATACAATTATTCCTTTATAGAGGAATAAAGCAGAAAAGGTCTGATTGGCAATATCATAACAGAAAAAAAGCCACATGACTTTCCTACAGCCTCAATCTGAGGAACAAAGGACAAAGAAAAAGCAAAAAAATAAAACCAAGGCCAAATGCTTCTTTTCCAAAATATACAGGGATATTATTAACAGTGATTTAATATGTATGTCTCAAATAAGGCTTTGAGAGAAAAACAAGTTTTTTGTCTTTGCCATATTAAGTTTTAGGTGGCAGTGAAACATCCATGCTGAGATGGATGAAAGAAAGGCTGATGTTCAATCTCAGAAGTAAGTTCTACAACTGAAAAAATTAGGATTACTAAAACCCATAAGAACAAATAAGATTACTCAAAGATAATACATGAAGAAAATAACAAGGGACAACAACAGAACCTTGTGGAAACCCAATTGAGAATGCATCTACATTGTAGATTTAATACAGTTTGACCCCACTTTAATTGCCATGGGTCACTGCTATGTAATCAAGGGGGTTATATAGTTATAAGGTCTTTGGCCTTCTTTGCAAAGGGTATTGTCCATCCACAAACTACAAATCCCAGGATCCCACAACAGTGAGCCATGTCAGCAAAATTGGGGTCAAGTTGAATTAATACTAGAGTGTAGATGCATCCTCAAAGGGGAAAAGATCATAATTTTTCTTTGCTCCAGAGCTCAAAGTGCAGACATAGAAGGAGGGCAGGCATAAAATCATGGACAAACTTGCCTATTTTAATATATGTTAACTTTATTCAATTTAAAACACCAATACAGGCAGTCCCCGAGTTACAAACATTGAACTAACAAATGACTCATAGGTGCAAACGGGGGGTGAGACAACAGGAAATGAGAAATCTACCCCTAGGAAGGGAAATTCACGCCTGAAAGGGTTATCATTTGGGGGGGGGGGGGGATTGTCTCAACTGAAGCTTTATGACCAATCCTTGTTTCCATAACAAGCCAAATGTTTCAAAATTCAGTTATCACAGGGACAGAAAGTGAGATGAAATCCTCTGAACAGGGGCACAAGGGTATTAACCCTTCCCTATGCTATCCAAGGCTAACACACATACACATAGCTGGAGTTACACTAAAATGTACTGTATCTGTTCCTACATAGAAATTCAACTTAATAACAAAACTACAGAACCTATCTAGTTCACAATTTGGGGACCATCTGTAACAACTTAATTATTACAGACGTCTCTCTTTTGGCATAAATCAAAATGGAGATAATTTTCATCTTACTAAGAATTATTTCAACATATTATTTCCTTTCTGAATTAAACTGAACAGTGGAGCCCAGCTCCTGAAATACTGAAAATAATAATTAATCTAGGCTAGTCTAATCTTGTACCTGCTTAAGAGTTCTGCACTTGCAATATTCAATGAGGATCAATTCAAACGGATCTAGATTTTAATGAGCTTGTTATGAAAACTAGACTGGCCACAGGTCAACTGGAATTAATAGTGTTTTGTCTGTTTCGGTGCAGAATCTCACTCAACAAAAGAATTGAGGCTGGATAGGAGTTGTAGATACTGCGATGTATAGTTCACCTGCAATCTAAGAGCACTCTGAACTCCACTAACAATGGACCTGGAACTAACTGCCATACAATTAAATTCAAAGCAGATAATCTGGATTTGGAATCTGGATTAAATGGCAGTGTAGAAGGACCTCAGATCCAATTAGGCCTGAGTCACACTGTTAATACAGTAACATCTTCTATCTTCTATCTATACACATAATAAAAGTGAAAATATGTATATGTGTTCGGCTGGGGTGTCCACTTACACAGACAAGTCCTGACTCCACAAACAGCTATAGCTCCCACTACTCAGGAGACACCAAAGGCCCTCCCTTCAATTACATTGCAGGTTATAGTGAGTGCCATGAATATATACAAGAGCCATGCCAATGTCCTCCACAAACACCATACTGCCTACCACCCAAGTGAAGGCTTTCATATGGGGACAATTTCATCCTAGATTTTACGTGTTTCTTCCTCCAGAGACATCCCAGTGTTTCTTACTCTCTCCATTGGTGTGGAATTTGCATGACCCTGCCCACTGCATCTCCCTTAACTATTTCCTATTATTTTCTATGGCACACATCAAAAAGAGGAATTGATCAGCAACTGAACATACTAGAGAGGTCTGGGGAGAATTCACCATGAGTTATTAGTTGTAGATACTGGGATGTATAGTTCACCTGCAATCTAAGAGCACTCTGAACTCCACTAAAGATGGACCTGGAACTAACTTGACACACAGAACCCTCACAACAAACAAAAAATACTGGAGGTCTTTGGAGGGATTTATAGGAGTTGGATCTGGACCAAACTTGGCATGCATAGCCTATATGTCCAGATTTGAATACTGGTGGGTTTTGAGGGGAATTGGCCTAGCCATTTTGGAGTTGGTAGGTACTGGGATTTATAGTTCATCTGCAATCAGTTAGCACTCTGAACTCCACCAAAGATGGAATTGGACAAAACTTGACACACAGCCCCTATTTCCAGCAAAAAAATAAATAAAAATACTGGAGGTCTTTGGGAAAAATTAACATTGATTTGAGGGAGTTGTAGTTCACCTATATTCAGAGAGCACAGTGAACCCAAACACTGATCGATCTGGACCAAACTTGGCACATACCCAATAGGCCGAAATTTTATTATTGGAGAGGTGGGGAGGGCGCGGGGGGGACTGTCCTTCCTTTCTAGGAGATGTCATTCACCCACAACCAGAGAAATAGTGACCTCCACCGATAATGGACCTGAACTTGGCACACAGAACCCCCGTGACTAACTCAACCTACTGGAGGGGTTTGAGGGTACTGACTCACCATAGTGGGAGGTGTAGTTTATGCTGCAGCCAGAGAGCACACTGAACCCCACCGATGATGCATCTAGAGTAAACTTGCCCAACATAACAAACGTTAAGTACTGATGGAGATTTTCGGGGTTAACCTGGCATGCTGTGAGTTGTAGTTCACCCACAACTTTATGCACTTTGTATAACTTAAAAATTGACTTTTTCAAATAACCCAGGCAACGCCAGGTACCCAAGCTAGTTTATGGGAATATAATATTAGTATATTACTGCCTTAGGAATATATTATGTATTGAATAAAATTATTAAATAAAATTATTGAATATGTTGAATGGTTTTTAATTGTGAATTTTAATACTGTTTATATTTAATTCCGTTTTAATATTTGAATATTTGTATATTTGAAATTGTGTACTGTACTAATGCTTTTATATCAAGCCACTTTTGAGTCCCCTTTGGGAGAGATAAAGCTGGGTAGAAACAAATATAATATTAATAATACTATACTATGATAATGGATGAGTTGGAATATAAATGCACTGAGTAGTGTGTATGGAAGAAAATGCCCAATTAGAAAATACTCTTAGGTATTGTGGCCACATTATGAGGAGACAGGAAAGCTTAGAGAAGACAATGATGCTGGGGAAAATGGAAGGAAAAAAGAAGAGGGGCCGACCAAGGGCAAGATGGATGGATGGCATCCTTGAAGTAACTGGCTTGACTCTGAAGGAACTGGGGGTGGTGACGGCTGACAGGGAGCTCTGGCGTGGGATGGTCCATGAGGTCATGAAGAGTTGGAAATGACTGAACGAATGAACAACATTGTAGGAAATATTGCTGGTTGGCCTAATAAAGGCAAGAGCCTCCAAAATGAATTTTGGCGTTTAACGGCAGACATTTGAGGCTCATTCTACATAGTTGTATAAAATACACATATAGCTGGAATGTGTCCAGAGGAGGGTGACTAAATGATCAAGGGTCTGGAGAACAAGCAGGCTTAAAGGAGCGGCTTAAAGAGCTGGGCATGTTTAGTCTGAAGAAGAGAAGGCTGAGAGGAGACATGATAGCCATGTATAAATACGTGAGCGGAGGTCATAGGAAGGAGGGAGCAAGCTTGTTTTCTGCTACCATGGAGACTAGGACGCGGAACAATGGCTTCAAACTACAAGAAAGGAGATTCCATCTGAAATTCAGGAAGAACTTCTTGACAGTGGGAGCCGTTCAGCAGTGGAACTCTCTGCCCCGGAGTGTGGTGGAGGCTCCTTCTTTTGATGCTTTTAAACAGAGGCTGGATGGCCATCTGTCGTGGGTGCTTTGAATGCGGTTTTCCTGCTTCTTGGCAGGGGGTTGGACTGGACGGCCCATGAGGTCTCTTCCAACTCTGTATATGGCAGTGTGTCAGATATTTTAGTTCAAAGCAGATATTGTAGATCATCTGACTTGATATTCTGGATTGTATGTACCTTAGGCTCCTTGCATACAGCTATATAAAATCCCACATTGTCTGCTTTGATCTGGGTGGATTATATGGCAGTGTGGACTTGGATTTTGATATTCTTGATATTCTGGAGGCCCTTCCACATAGCCATATAACCCAGAATATCAAGGTAGAAAATCCCATAATGTCTCCTTTATTGGGTTATCTGGAGTCCACACTGCCATATATCCCAGTTCAAGGAAGATAATGTGGGATTTTATTCCGCTGGGGAAGAGGCCTGAGTCCACAATGCCCTATAACCTAGTTCAATGTGGATTTTATATAGTCGTGTGGCAGGGGCCATAATACTGATATTGTACTACGCTAATAATGTAATATATTGTGTGTGTGTCTATATATCTATATCTATATATATTGTAAGCTGCTCTTAGTCCCCTTCAGGGTGAGAAGGGCGGCATATAAATATATATAAAAATAAAAATGTAATGTTCGTTTGTGGGATTAACATAACTCAAAAACCACTGGACGAATTGACACCAAATTTGGACAAGAGACACCTAACAATCCAATGTATGCCCATCACTCAAAAAATTGATTTTGTCATTTGGCAGTTGCAGTTGCTGGGATATATAGTTCACCTACAATCAAAGAGTATTCTGAACCCCACCAACCATGGAATTGAACCAAACTTGGTACACAGTTCTCCCATGACCAAAATACTGGAAGGGTTTGGTGGGCAGTGTCCTTTGGTTTAGGAGTTGTAGTTCACCTACATCCAGAGATCACTGTGGACTCAAACAATGATGGATCTGGACCAAACTACACAAATACTCAATATGCCCAAATGTGAAAACTGGTGGAGTTTGGGGAACATAGAATCTTGACATTTGGGAGTTGTAGTTGCTGGGATTTATAGTTCACCTACAATCACAGAGCATTCTGAACCCCACCAATGATAGAATTGGGGCAAACCTCCCACACAGAACCCCCATGTGGGCCACAGCAGTGCGTGGCAGGGGATGGTTAGTATCTATATAAATAAAAATATAATGTTCGTTTGTGGGATTAACATAACTCAAAAACCACTGGATGAATTGACACAATACACGTATCAGGCCAACAAGCGACCATCACTCATAAAAAGTCTGAAAAATATAACAGAAGAGACTTAAAAAGGCAAAAAATTATAAAAAAATAAATTACAATGCAGGAGCAAAACCACATATATATACACACATAAAACATATATATATATATACAGAGTGGGCCACAACAACGCGTGGCAGGGAACGGCTAGTCGTAAATAAATAAATATGTTATATGGCTGTATGGAAGAGCCCTTAGATTCGCCTGAACGGTGAGTAAAACTACCCTTGTTAACAAGGCCACGCCACCTGCAATGAAGCCAGGCTTCTTTGTGAGGCGCGTTGCATTCTGGACGTCGAAGTCTTTCTGACAGGGCCAAAGAAAGGTATTCACGGGGGAGAGGAGGCATGCCGGGATTTGTAGTCCCCGGCGGGTGACGTCACGGCCAGGGAGGCTTATGATTGGGGGTATGCCACGGTTTGCGAGAAAGCTGGCCAATGGCAGCGCCTGGAGAGGAGGGCGGGGCTTTCTTGAAAGGGAAAGGAAACTCCCCGGATGCTGCCTAGCCTAGCTTGAGACCGGCTCGGAACTTTCCAGAAAAAGTCAGCGCGAGAAGGAGAAGGAAGAAGGAGAGGAGGCTCGAGCCGGCTGTTAGAAGAGAAAGAAAGAGAGAGAGAAGACAGGGCTGCTTTCATTGTAAGCCTGCGTTTGGGTCGAAAGCGCGAGTGAGTGAGGGACAAAGGAAAAGCCGGGTGGGGTGGGGGAGGGGTCTCCTCAGCTACCTTTCCCCCCTCCCTCTAGTTCTCCACAAAGAGAGGGCGCGCGGGAGGGGGAGGAGGGGGCGCGCGGGAGGGAGGGGGAGCGCGCGACGGTTAGGTCAGCTGACTCCGGGTTCTGAGAGAAGGCAGAGAAGGGGATTTGGCGGGAGGGAGGGAAGGAGAAGGGAAGTCGGGCCTTCGTGGGTGAGGGAAAGCGGGGGGGGGGGGGGGGGGGGAGAAGAAAGAAAGCGGAGTCGTGGAGTGGGAGACAGCGCCCTCCACACAAGGGACCCCTGGAAATGGGAATGCAGTGGGTGCCCCTTCTGTGTCACGTGATGGAGCGAGGGAGGCCCTTTTACATAACAGTCTGTGGGGAAGAAGACCCCCCCCCCTTGTAAAGTTGGGAGCCTTCCATACACAGCTGAATAAAATCCCACATTTTCTTTGAATTGGAATATATGGCAGTGTGGACTCGGGGCCCTTCCACGCAGCCATATTGCAGGACCCAAGATATCTGCATTGAACTGGAATATATGGCAGTGTGGACTCAGGGCCCTTCCACACAGCCATATTACAGGACCCAGGATATCAAGGCAGGAAACCCCACAATGTCTGTTTTGAACTGGAATATATGGCAGTGTGGACTCAGGGCCCTTCCAGATAATTGTGGGACTTCCTATCTTGATATTCTGGGATATAAGCCTGTGTGGAAGGGCCCCCAGATAACCCAGCTCAAAGAAGATATTGTGGATTATCTGCCTTGATATTCTGGATTATATGGCTGTGTGGAAGGGCCCTTATTCTAATTGCTATTTGACACAAGAAAAGAGTTAGGGGGTGTTTTTTTCCACTGAAGCTCTGTTATCAGGTGGGGCTGGAAAGAGAAGCAATGAGGGGCAAACTTGGTTTGCCTGGAGCACCGCTTTCCCAATATTTCTTTAGTCACAGCATCATTTCGCAACACAGTTGTTCTGTTTTTAATAGCTAACTAGAGGGTAAACCAATCCCGTTGAAGGAACCGTCTCAATATGATAAGAGTACAAATCAATAAACCTACAAGGAGAATCATCATGTATGGCAGGCATGGGCAATCTTTGGCCCTCCAGGTGTTCTGTATTTCAACTCCCAAAATTCCTAACAGTTTATGGCTGTTAGAAATTGTGGCAGTTGAAGTCCAAAACACCTGGAGGGCCAAAGCTTTCCCGTGCCTGATGTATGTGACAACAACAGCAAGTGCTGGTAGATGTACAAACCTTTAAATGTAGATGTAGACCTTTAAAGCCCTAGACCAGTGGTTCTCAACCTGTGGGTCCTCAGGTGTTTTGGCCCACAGCTCACGGAAATCCCAGCTAGTTTACCAACTGTTAGGATTTCTGGGAGTTGTAGGCCAAAACACCTGGGAACCCACAGATTAAGAACCACAGCTCTAGACAGTTCAGGTCCAGGCTATTTGGCCAGCTGCATACCCTTGTATGAATCTGCCCCAGCCTTGAGATCTTCAGGAGAGGCCCATCTCTCGGGGCCCTTCCACACAGCCATATAACCCAGACTATCAAGGCACAATACCCCACAATATGTGCTTTATACTGGGTTATCTGAGTCCACACTGCCATATATTCCAGTTGAGAGCAGATAATGTGGGATTCTGTTCAGCTGTGTGGAAGGGGCCTCAGACCCACCTCCATCTCAAGCTCAAAGAGAGTGGGCCTTCCTTCTCCGTAGGTGGGTGCTTCAATACTCTGGAACTCCCTTCTTCCTAGGGAAGCCAGAATGACCCCCTCCCTGCTGTCCTTCTGGTGGCAGTTTAAAACTTTCTGAATCAGACAGGTTTTTAAAGAAGGTGTTTAAGATTTAGTCATGGGGTGCTGTGGTTTTAAACTTTGAATATGTTTTCATAAATTTTAACGGTTTTTTAGTGCTACCTGTGTTTAATTTTGTTTTAATGTGTATATATTTGTACATTTTAAATTATATACTAATACTACTGTTCAAGCCAATTTGAATCCCCTTTGTGGAGATAAAGCGGGCTATAAATAAAAATAATAATAACACAAATGAATAAACCTACAAGGATAATCATCATGTATGTGATTATGCAAGAATAGTATTGGCAAAAAAGTAGAAATTAACGGGAGTACCTTCTGATCTATGATTGACAACTGAAATTAAGAGAAGCCATGGAAATGACAAATTAACTAGAACAATGAAGGGGAGGTCTCTAAGCAAGGTGCTGAAAAGTGGGAGAATGTAGAGAAATATTTTAAGGAATAAGTCATCTCTGTGAACAAAAATAAGTATTGGCTGTTTAAGATTCTCCTTTTTCCCAAATGGGATGCAAGAAGACTTAGGAAAAATTTCTACCTCGAAAGGAAGTATTGTTTTTGTAGCTATAGTTTATTTGGATTATATTATGATTGCTTGTTTTGTGTGTTGTGTTTTATTTGTATTTTATGGTGTAGTATGCTTTTATTTCTTTCTGAAAATCTATTAAAATGTTACAAAAAAGGAGATACAGACACATATATATATATATTGTAATAAGAGAAAGTATGGGGGACACAACATATCGCATGAAAAGCTTTTGTTTGTATATTTTAAAAAAATGTATATATGATTTGTAAGATGACATACATTTCCAAGATTTACTGTATGTCATTTCTCATTATGTTTGCGTGACACATCTACACACGACAGCCGGCATACTAAACAGTTTGGAAAGCTCTGGTGTAGATAATACAGAGTAATTGGTGTGCAGAGTGAGGCAGCGCAAGAAGATACAAGTTTGGTCTCACCAGAGGTCTCTTTATGGGCACAGTCTTTGAGGAAATAAGGAAGTGGGCTGAACTCATGACATCATCTATCTTGCATTCCTTTTCTAGCTTTAATTTTCATCTTTCCCCTTCCAGGTATCTATTGCACCATGGTGAAGGAGACCACATACTATGATGTGCTTGGGGTAAAACCTAATGCATCCCAAGAGGAACTGAAAAAAGCTTATAGGAAACTGGCATTGAAATACCACCCTGATAAGAATCCAAATGAAGGTGAAAAGGCAAGTGTGAAAGCTAACTCCCTCTTAAATATTTTGCTTATTAGCTTAGTAGATGGTTGTGTATTGTCTCGTTCGGACTTTGCCTCATTGTTGTGAATGGGTTGGATTCTGATATATCAATATTATTTTCAGAACTTGAGAAGCTGAATAGCTCTTTAAAATTTTTAATGGTATTCATATTTCCACTTCAGAATTTCCCTGTTAACGTGGGGGCACCTGGGGAAAAGCAGCATCCTGGATTTGTTTTCACCTTTTGTAAATGTCATGGTGCAGCTGCACTCTATGATTTTTACTTCAAAAAATGCAGGTTGGGTTTTAGCATAGACGAATTAGCGCTGAGAACTAATTTTGCTAAATGGCATGCTATTAATCTCTAGCCACTTCCTTACCCTTAAGCAGTTATAGTGGTACAAAGTAAATATTATAGTGATATAAATTATTTTCTGTAAAATATTTCTCTGATTTTTTGTTCTTTTGTTCTTGTAGTTCAAACAGATTTCTCAAGCTTATGAAGTTCTTTCTGACACCAAGAAAAGAGATTTGTATGATAAAGGTGGTGAACAAGCCATTAAAGAGGGTGGTACTGGAAGCAGCTTTGGGTCACCCATGGATATATTTGATATGTTCTTTGGAGGAGGCGGGCGAATGCAACGAGAGAGGAGAGGTAATGTACAACTTTAGTTGAAGTAGTTCACAGAAGCCTTGATAGTTTACCTGAACTATTCTTGGCTAATAAGCAAAAGATAAACTTAATGTTAGGATAATGTCTGTTTTCATTTATGAAGTACCTCAAGTGATATAGGCAGGACTACAAAATAATTATATGTTGCATTCTGCATGGATTGTTAATTGATGTGTAGTGTGGAAGTATTCCACTGAGTTTCAGTTATGCTTTCCATATGTGTAGAATAGGCAGAGAATTGCATCCTTAGTTTGTCTGTTGGTTCTACCTTCCCTCTCAGTAAGGATCAAGCACTACGACTCTCACTCACATTGCTTTGTGGGAGAACCCGTTGACCTTTTTAAGTGTAGCTGCAATACCAGTCAATGTTTGTCCTTATAGTGACTTCCCACAGTGGAGAAAATTAGAATCAGAAGCATGGATCTGAAACCTCAATAATGAAACTCTTTGGAGCATTTCTCATCAAATGTCTGCTTTTCCTTATAGGTAAAAATGTTGTTCATCAGTTGTCAGTAACTCTAGAAGACCTATACAATGGAGCAACACGAAAACTCGCTCTACAAAAGAATGTGATTTGTGACAAATGCGAAGGTATGTTGGTACAAAAATTTCAGTTTATCCAGTAAAAATTGACATCCATGACAAATATATGTAGCAAGTGAGTGAGGGAGGAGACATACATGGTATTTTGTACTCTTATTCCCCTTTGTTCTTCTATAGGCCGAGGTGGCAAGAAAGGTGCAGTGGAATACTGCCTTAATTGCAGAGGAACAGGCATGCAAGTAAGGATTCACCAAATTGGGCCTGGAATGGTTCAGCAAATCCAGTCAGTGTGTATGGAATGCCAGGGCCATGGAGAGCGCATCAGCCCCAAGGATAGATGTAAAAGCTGCAATGGAAGGAAGATTGTTAGAGAGAAGAAAATTCTTGAAGTCCATATTGATAAAGGTGCGTATCATACTTTGGGTCTGTTGTTGTAATGCTTATTATTATGAGCCGCTTTGAGTCTCTGTATGGAAAGAAAAAGTGGGATATAAATAAACATAATAACAATAAATCAGTTGCATTGTGTTTGTGTGAATTATCACAAAAAAACTGGATCCTGGAACTTTCAAATGAGCAGTAAGGTGCTACTAGTGTAGAATACTAGACAGTAGAAATAACTTCAGAGTACAATAACTAGTTAGGAGAATTATTGATGAGCCTGTACAATGAGAATAATAAACGTCGTTGTTCCATGACTGTCAGAAAGTGTCCTCAGTCCATCCTTGTTGGGCATCCAGACTATGTGGGGAATATAATTTTAACCATTTTGAAAAAGGTTAGTTGAGGGTTAAGTGTTGGACAAATTTTGTATGACTTTGGCCAAACAAACACTAGGGTTCACCCTTGCTCCAAGCAGCAAGTCCATATCCCAGTCTCATGTTGCACAGCTGAAATTGAGAAGATGGTGAAGGACAAACTGATGTGACTCTTGACTCCAGTCAATCTTAGCAGTGGGGTTTGTTGTTTTTCTTCTGCTTCTGTGCCTTTAGCTTTTTTCAAGTTCTAGTCATTCAGCAGATAGTAAAACAAGTCAGCACATCTTCCTCTTTCCTGTCCAGTTCAGACCTAGGGAAGTGAGGTTGGCAATCTCAGCTTTCTGCTTGGCCTGAACCACAAAGCTTTGGGCTTGTTTTAGTGCTAGAAGATAGCTGACTAGTTTATGTAGTGTGCCAGATTGTGAACACTCTGCATGCTTGCTGCTATTTGTGCCCACACCATTGGGTAGTAGTATATCAGCTGCATTATATCAGTTGCATTGATATAGTAAGAAAAATGAGAATGTTAGAAGAACTGAAAAGGTAATGGGGAAGACTGATTAGGATTCAGAAACATAGGATTCTCTTCCCTTGTGAAATCAGCCTTGCCCCTAGCTACAAATGATACTTTAGAATCAGAGGTTAAGACTGTTGTCACATGAATACCACACAGTGTGCATCCGTCACCAGTTTCCCATCTGCAGAATTCATATTTCCTGCCTCTCATAATCTGTGATTCAGATTTGGAGTTAGATAAGCAGGATTTTGCTTGCCCATCCTTTAGCCTTCACGGTTTTGGGGAGAAATTATTCTGCAGTGCTAGATTGTTGAAGTTAAGTCGCCAAGAAGCTTTATGGTCTGGCATGCAGCACAGCAGTCTTGTTCTATAGCAGGGAAAGGCAAATGGAGTATCTTATGGAGGTTTCCCAATTGATCTGTGGAGCACTGAAGGATCAGTGGGTAAATAAAACAGCATTTCAAAGGATGGGGGTTTAAATATATATGTAAGAGCAGCATAGCAAAAAGGGGGCTGTTGTATTTCCCACGTGTATCTCAAACTGCTGGTATAAATATTAAGTGTTTTAAGCCACATCACTTGCATGATACATTTACAGTGCTGTTAGGTATCCACAATTTATGTAAGAACTTGTGAAGCATTTACCAATCTATTTTATAAACTAGTTCTACGTTCCTCTGTCAGTATTTCTTGCACAACACTCCATTCAGATTATCCTTGACCCACTTAACTGAGCCAAAGTCTGTAGACTTTTTGGTCACAAGATGCTACACGTATGCTGATAAAAAGTGAAATAATATTACTACTGTTATGCTTCAAGGATGCATCACTTTAAGGATTTTGAGTTTTATTGTTTTCTAATTTAGTTTCCAGCCTAATCGTTCCTCAGGCAATATCTTTACAGTGGTTCCAGCTGTTCAGTTGTTAGGAATGGTGGTAGATTTGCTGTACAGAAAGAATGAAGAACCATGTGTATTTTCTTTTTCTTTCTTTCTTGGTTTCGATTTTATTATGGAAAATATTTGGAAGCAAACATAATGTTTCTTTTTACCTGAAAGCTTTGAAAATTATGTTAAACATTCGACTCGTCCATCTGAAAGTAAAGATACCTTGTATTAAAAGTTAAATGACAATTGAAAGTGCCAAAAAAGAAAGCATAGGTGAATGTGTAAAATGCAGCGCATGATATCCGAAAAACAGAACTAGAAAGTCAGAACAAAACTAAAAGACACAAAGGAACGGATTGAATGATTTTATATAAAGTGTAGCATATAATATTCTGTACCCTTCTCACCAACAGTGAAGAATATTATAAATTATTAGATCTTCATAGGTTAGTTTATTATTAATCAATGGTTAGATGGTAGAACATGTGAAATTATTTCACCGTATCAGATTTTTCTTGTATGCTTATTTGGAATAGGAATGAAAGATGGTCAGAAGATAACTTTCCATGGTGAAGGCGACCAGGAACCAGGGTTGGAGCCAGGAGATATCATTATTGTTTTGGATCAAAAAGATCATTCTGTGTTTACAAGGTAATTGGGGTCAAGAACATGTGATACTTCAAATGGTGTTTAACCTTTCACAGTGTTGGTTATACTACCTGGGGGTTCCTGAGAGTTGTGGTCCCATTCTTGGTCTGTAGTTGTATTTTGGATATCTGCCTTGATCAATAGTGTAGTTGTCAAGTCTCAGCTATTTCCCCCTCAAAATGCTGGAAAAGCCAGAGATTAGTTGTTGCTTCTAGTCATGTCTGATGTATGTATGTGTTTTTACGTTGCCTGTCTCCCATCCAAAATACTAACCAGGGCTGACCCTGCTTAGCTCCCAATATATGGTGGGATCTGGTGCTTTGAGGGGGTAATTATGCCTTATATTTATTCCTAATAGAATTTATCTTTCATGTATGAGGCTGCTGTTAGAAGCCTACATAAGAAATAGAGAGTTAGAAGGGAATGCTAGATAGTTGAATGTAAGCTTAGTTGTTTTATAGTTTTAAGTGTCTCCAGTTATAAATCTTCTGCTAGAATCTTTAGCCTCTTCTGAATGTCAAAATGTGGTGCCTTCAGTAACTGCAGAATCATGTGATAGCTTTGTGTAATTTTCTAATCTGCTTTGCTGACTGACGTTGTATATAAAATGGTTGGCGAACCATAAAATCTTAAGCCTTCCTATTTTTGTGATACAGAAAGCCTGAGAATCAGAATAGACTGTGAAGTAATATCTTCCAGAATCCTTAGGGACACTTTTAATCCCACAAGAATCAAAATAGAGGTAGAATTATAAGTGTTGCTAGAATTAATTCACAGATCTGTACCACCTCGCTTTTTTAAAGTATTGTGTTGATTGTGTTGGGTTGTGCTGTGTCTTCCTTGAATTGCTGTCCAGTACAATTTGCAATGAACTGTCCTGTACTTATACAGCTGATTCTCTTTTTCTGCAGACGACATGAAGACTTGGTCATGTCCATGGACATTCAACTAGTTGAGGCACTGTGTGGCTTTCAAAAACCAATTGCAATGCTAGACAGTCGAACCATAATCATTACTTCTCATCCTGGTAAGTATGTATTGCTTTGACAAAACACACCTTGGATATATTAATCGATGTCAGTGGTCAAACATGGCTGTTTCAAAATATAAGCAAGTGCATCACCATTATCTCTAGAAATGTTCTCAAACTTATGAATGCAGATTTACAGCATATTAGGTTCTTTTTAACTGTCTTTAAGTAGTAGAATATTCAAAAGCTTATATCCATGAAAGCTATTATTCGTAATATGCCCATTTTCCAATGATAATGGCTAAAATTCAGGATCAGATCTACTGTTGTGTAACCTGGAGTTAGTTACCCATAGTGCATCCATACTCACAGTCCCTACATAGTCGTAACTATAGCACTAGTCTTATGATTGTAAATGTCCTGCCAAGGTTTTACTTGGCAACAACTGCATGGAGAGTAAGTTCATTCTTTTGCCAATGGTGGAATAAGTAAATGACAGCTAGTAAAGCTGCGACAAGTAGCTTGCTTCTGATCACAACTTTGCTGGTTTTGGGGAGCGGGGGGATGTCAGTTGCCCACAGCTTGATTGACTGCAGAATTCACTCTTTTCTCCGCATAGCAAAGGCCTGCTAAATTGGCTTGATGGACTTGGGCCAGGAAGTGATAAATTAGTTTTGCATCTAACAGTTATATAACATAAATAGCATATATAGTAGACTATAAGAGCCCCTGGTGGTGTAATGGTTAAACCCTTGTGCTGGCAGGACTACTCACTGAAAGGTCAGTGGTTTAAATGTGGGGAGCTGGGTGAGCTCCCATCTGTCAGCTACAGCTTTTCATGTGGGGACACGAGTGAAACTTCTCACAGGATGGTAAAACATCTGAGCAATGTCCTTGCTGACGGCCAATTCTCTCACACTCGAAGTGAGTTGCAGTTTCTCAAGACACTCCTGACACAAAAAAGTAGACTTCTGAACAATATTTTTACATTGATAGACTCCTCTTACTTTTGGTTAATTGATAAGAGAAAATAACACCATCAGTTGTAGCTTTTCTTTGCCCCTACAAAATAGAAGTAAAACTTCTGAATAAATCTTTAATAAAGTGCTCTAGCATGAGGTTAGATCTTGTTTAATTTGTAAGTGGTTTGGATATAAGTATCCTTTTTTTAATTTCTAGGTCAGGTTGTCAAATATGGAGACATTAAATGTATACTGAATGAGGGAATGCCATTCTATCGCAGACCATATGAAAAGGGTCGTCTAATAATTGAATTTAAGGTAAGATGCAAATAATTTTAAATTTGAAGTTGCTGAAAATAAAACGACATTTCTTAGACAATGTTATTATGGCAGACTTCTAATTGTTTGACCAACCAAATTTGAAGTCTATTCATCCTGGAGACATCCTGGAGACGGGGGCTACAAAGTTTTGTTGTGGGCCCAAAGTTGTTCAACATGTTTATAACAACTTGGATGTTGGAGTAGTGGGCATGCTTAGTAACTTTGCAGATGGCAACAAATTAAGTAAGCAGACACAGGACAGGATTAGAATTCAAAATTACTGTAACAGATTACAAAGGGTGGGCCAAAACAAATAAAATTAATTTCAACAGGGAGAAATATAAGGTACTACACTTACGCAGAAAAAAATGACATGCACAGTTAAAGGATGGATGACACCTAGCTTGACAACACTACATGTAAAATGGATTTAGGGATCTTCGTAGTCCAGAAGCTAAAAATGAGTCAATAGTGTGATGCGGCAGCTAAAAAAAATCTGATTTGTAGGCTGCCTCAGTAGGAGTATAGTATCAAGATGGAGGGAAGTCACAATCCCACTCTCTTCTGCTTTTGGTCAGACTTCACCTGTAATCACATTGTGTCCAGGTCTAGGCATTACATTTCACCAAAATGGCAAAAGGTCTGGAAGCTACACCATATGAGGAATAGTTTTGGGAGCTGAGTATGTTTAACTTGGAGAAGAGAAGGTTAAGAGGGGACACCAGAGCCACGTTTAAATAATTGAAAAGTTGGCATATTGAAAATGGAACAAAATGTTTTCTGCTGCTCCAGAGATGAGGACACGGACTCAAATTACAGGAAAAGAGATTCCACCTAAACATTAGAACTTCCTACCAATAAAAGATGTTTGATAGTTGGATATGCTGCTTCAGACTGTGGTGGATTCGCCTTCTCTAGAGCTGTCTGTCTGTTGGGAATGCTTTGATTGTGTATTCCCATGTGATGGGGTTGGACTGAATGGTTGCCATAGTCTCTTCCAAGTCTATGATTCTATGTAAATTTCTTGAATATGTTTTAGAGAATAATGCCTCATGAGACTTTGGTTTAAAGGGGGAAAAAATCTCTGTGCATTGACTTGAATTAAGCAAATGTGACATTTTCCTTTAATGTTGTAATTTTGAAACCATAATTTCCCATATAGAAGTAGTAATCATGTCTACTAAATTTCAGGTGATCTTTCCAGATAGTGGCTTCCTTTCCTCTGATAAGCTCTGTCTGTTAGAAAAGCTGTTGCCTCCAAGGCAAGAAGTGGAGGAAACTGAAGACATGGACCAGGTAGAGTTGGTGGACTTTGACCCCTCTCAGGAAAGAAGGCATTCCAATGGGGAAGCCTATGAAGACGACGAGCACCATCCCAGAGGTGGCGTCCAGTGCCAGACGTCTTAAATCGGCCTCATGGTTTTCCCTGTGCTGCTTGTCTTGTATGTCAGTTGTGAATGAGTGAAGGATTAAAGTTGCTAATCTCTCAAACTTGCCATTGTCCCTGTAATATTTAGACATAGTTGTTTTTAAATCAAGTTAATAAACTTAAAAACTGTAAACTACACTTCAATCAAGTTGAAATGCTGTTCTATTTCCATATGGCCTCCTAAGGAAACCAGAAGTCAATTTGCTCTGGCTTTTTAATTTTATTTTGTGCATCATAAGTGTATTGTGTGCAAATGCACTGGCTTAGTATTCAGTGATTTCTGTTTAGTATTATAAATTATATTCCCCTTAAGTATGCACATGTATTTATGATTCATGTTACAAATGTGAAATTAAAGTTTTGTATTCTTCAGCTTCTAGATACATTGGTGTGTTTTGGATGTAGTGTGGCTGGTTGAGGCTTCACAAGGCACCTGCATGGCACTGTATACCTTCCTCTCCTGGAGAATCAAGCCCTGTCCTGCCCCGTCCTGCCTCCTAGTTCTAGCTACAACACTGTAAAATCCCTCTATTAATAATGGTATGCAGGACCCTAGCATTGCTAATTAATGAGTTGAAAATTCAACCTGTAATAGAGCTTATGTAGGATGAAAACCAAATGTTCAGCATTTTTGAATAGGAAATACGTGGCTTTTTAAAATAACGGTCACTCAATTGAAAAGTAGTAAAGATAGAAAGCTATTGTACATTTAAGCTCTCTTCCAAATTTGTGTAACTCATGAATGAATGAATTACCACAATTTGAGGGGATGTCTATGTGCTCTTAGTTCCTGAAAAGGGCTACCTCTACCATTGGGCATTTCAAAGTATTTGTATTTTAGCTTCACAGATTACAGCTGGCCTTTCATTAACTGCAGGAAGGCTTAATAACTGATTCAAGTGCCTCTTCTAGGACTAAAATGTACTTACGCCGACCCTTGACCTTTTTCTTTAAAATATCCCTGTTATTTGATAGGCAAGCCCGGCTGTAACCCTTATGCTGTGCATATAGAGCAGGTGGGCTAATGGATATGGCATTCCAGTGCTCTGCCATTTCAACACCAGGTCTTAACCATTTGAGGTTTTAATCTATGGCTTCTTCCCAGGGGTTTAAGTTGCATTGCAATTTATTATGGTCCTTGTGATAAGGATGATTTAACAGAAACGAGTATGTTAGTGGAATGAAGAATCTGACTTGACAAATGCTTGCATATTGTACTTCAAACTTGAGTTTCAACCCATGGGGGGAAATAAACACTATCTTTACTTCTAACAGCTTCCATCTTTCCTTGCTTTTTGATGAGCCATTTAAGGTGCATTAATATGACAATGCCTTAGAGGCAGCTTGCTGTGGCAATAACTGCATGTCTCCCATCCCATACAACAGGGATCTATCTGTTCAGAAGGTTTGAAAATGGGTACTGTAGCAAGAGTTTTGTGAAAGAGTAGTAAAGATATGGATAATACTTTGCAGTCTCTTTTAGGGTCTTTCGATAAAACATTCTAGATAGAGAATTTGGTATTCGAGGATCCATGACTGGGATAAATGTTGTAAAAAGAGACAGGTTCTTATAGTAAGTATCACAATGCCTGTCCAAAACAACAGTTATAATATCACCCTACAATCTGCATGGGGCCGTGGTGGCACAGCAGGTTACACCACTAAGCAGAACTTGCTGATTGGAAGGTCAACAGTTTGAATCTGTTGACAGGGTGAGTTCCTGTTGTTAGCCCCAGTTTCTGCCAACCTAGCAGTTCAAAAACATGCAAATGTGAGTAGACCAATAGGTACTGCTCCAGAGGGAAGGTAATGATGCTCCAATGCAGTCATAGATGTCTATGGACAGCGCGGGATCTGCGGCTTAAAAATGGAGATGAGCACCACCCCCAGAGTTGGATACGACTAGACTTAATGTCAAAGGGAAACGTTTTCCTTTACAACCTGCATGGTAAAACAGTCACATAATAGACGTAGTTCCATAATGGTCCCTTTATATTCATTTGTTTAATATTCTAGCAAAGCTATCTGTTCTGTTGAGCATACTGAGATCTTTCTGGTCAGGATATTGTGGGTATGTTGGCATAACCTGAAGCTATCACTTCCCCAAACGCTTCTGCCCCTTGTCAGGCTCCAGTTTCACAGCCCGGAGAAAATAAGATGCCACTCTCCCAATTCTCCAGTACATACCAGCTGCATATATTCTACTCCACAGTGTAGAATGTTACATTCTGTAATGTCCCATAATTTTGGTGGAAGAGCAATTAGAATTAGATGTTAGCATTGGGTGTGGACTTATATTTTAGAAAGAAAAAGCTTAGTTTTTTTTTTAATCGTGTCAGAAGCTACTTGAGAAATTGCAAGTTGCTTCTGGTGTGTGAGAATTGGCTGTCTCCAGAGATGTTGCCTAGGAGGCACCCGGATGTGTTACCACCCTGTGGGATGCTTCTCTCATGTCCCCACATAGGGAGCTGGAGCTGAAAGACAGGGTCTCACCGTCAACCTTTAGATCAGCAGTTCAGCTGGTGCAAGAGTTTAACCCATTGTCAAATTAATTTGACCCATGTCAAATTAAAAACTAAAAGTTTAGTTACCTTGTGTGTGTGAGGACAGGGTTTTTTTTTTCATTTGACAGTATGGAGAGTTTTGACATTTCCGCATGAGAGTTGCCTAGCTACCACTTGATAAACATAAGCAAGTTCACAAATACAATGCCATCCATAATGCTGGAGAAACTACATCACCACCCCTAAGTGTTTTGTCAAGCACAAGCTGAATATAATGTGTGTGTGTGTTTAAAAAAGTGTTCAAATGCGTCAGATGTTTTTGTAATAAGATTTTATTGTAGAAGTTACAGAATTAAAAAATAAGGACCACAAAATCAAAAGTTATACAAATCCAGAAAATGACCACACCTTGAATAGCAGTTACTCTAAGAATTTGATCAAGGATGAGCACATTTTTGAAGTTAGCAGGATGAAACTAGACATTAACACTAAGAGGCTAAAAGAAGTTATCTCATTTAAAAAGCAATAAAATGTTCACAGCTATTCTCTGTGCTCATGAGGAGATAAAGATACTCTGCCTGTAGGAGAGTAAAGTCATAAAGAGCTTGACAAAGATTTTTTTTGAGAGTTCAGAAGAAGGAAATGTGTGGGACGTGGCCAGGTTACAGTCCCCTTTCAGTAGGCAATATTTAAGCATGCGCTAGACATCACTGGGATTTCCAGGTGTTTAGCATTGGCTAGAGCATACATACAATGTATCTCACTACCATGTCAAAAATGAAGGGACTGTCAGAAAACTTTAATGTAATTACTTTATAACACTAAAGCTCTAGGTTTGCTTTCCTTCATTTTGTTGTACCTTTCCATGTCAATTTAATACAACAAATTCTGAATAATTTCTATTATCAGTAAAAGAAAATGGATTTTACAGAACGTTTTTTGAAGTGGAACTGCTTTTGCTACTTGGCCACATAACTAGGGACTTCAGATATTAACATTACATTTGTCTCAAAAGTAATATAGGCATCTCTCTTTGGATGCATATATGAAATTATTTAAGATAAAGTAACACTTTTGGACCTCAAAACAAACTGGGGGGAAAACACCCAACAATACACATACTTTCCTTACGCCTTCAAGAGCCATGCACTGAATGGGATTGAAGTAAGTTCTACGGTTTCCATAGTTTCAGAAGTCCATCTTCACTGTAAGTAGCAATCAAATTCTGGTGGGGATGGTGAGCGATACCAATTACATCCTTCTCATGAACCTAGAGATCAGAAGAAATACATAAATGAATGCATGATGAGTGTTTTTCTCCAGGAATATGAACCGAAATTATTTTTGTTACTTCCCAACATACAAACAACCATCAGAAGATTGAAATAAGGGAGAACGTAAGAGTGGTACATCAAGAGTGAGACAAAGGAGTGTTTCAGTATGCATCTGAACAAGCTGGCTAGGGCTTTGGGAGTTGAAGGCCCAAACATCTGGAGGACCAAAGGTTGCTTTAGGTCATGGAAGAGTACATTGCATGCTACATCTCAGGTAGTTTATGGCTACAGACAAGCAATAGTACAGGAGAGATAAGACAGCTGGTAAGGAAGCCATGAAAAAGAGTGGGTGATGCAAAAGTCAAGGAGTTGGGTTAAAAAGAAAAATGACAGGGCGAAAGGAGAGCAGTTGAAGAGGCAACTGACTGGAGATGGAAAAGTGGAAAGATACTTCTGAGTTTCCAGCATTCTAAAACAGCCTTTCTTGTTAGCCTATATACAGGGACCACATGGGAACAAGAGAGTGGTCAGGTGAGAGAAGGCTCCCTGTCTCTGTCTCCAAACTCACTGACATCGAAGCAGAACGGATCTTTTAAATTACAAATAAGTTGATTTTTATCATCAAGTCCTTGGAACACTTCTATACAGACCAGTGAGTCTTAAACTTTTTCCACTTGTGACATCTTTCCACCCGATACGTTTTTATATTAATTCCCATATATATGTCAGAAATATTAAAAATTAACTAGGTATATTTAATTACAAAAAATGTGAGTCAAGCACTAAAAGATTTAAATGGATACAATAACTAAGTAAAAGCTGCAGTTGAATATAAGCAGGTGTGCCTGTAGCTTAGGAGCCCTCAGTCCGTGAGAGGGCTCTTTTGGAGAAGGGCCTCAGTATGAGAAGGGATCCATGTTCACCTCAGTGTAAGAGAGGTGTCAGTGTGAGAAGGTCTCAGTCGGAGAAAGGCCTCAGTATGTTAGTAGGCCTCGGTGTGAGAAGCTTTGGTGAGCGAAGACCCAGGTTGAAAGCCAAGAAGGAAGTATAAAGAACTTTGTTCATGGTATGGAAATCTTGTTTTTGTAAATAGTGCCACCATAGTATTTTGCTATAAAGAAAAGCCTCCTATAGAAGAGATAACATTGGTCTGTGTGTTTTTGTTCTTTTTATCACTTTTGGCTACTGGTGATCGGTCACACTGTTGCTGCTAAGTTACTTTGCTGTACATTTATGAGAAGGGTCTTTTGTTAATAAGCCCACTTGCCCAACAATATAGATATATAAAATAGGTATAAAAAACAATAATTTACTGAAAATATATCACCATTTGCTAAACAAGCAGATTATTCTTGTCTGACAAAAACATGAGCCATTGTCATTGGGATATTTTGGTGATTAAGTCAAGAAATACATGTTAAAAATGACACACGACTGCTGCCAAAACTGACAGCTCTGGGTTTCTTTTTTCCACTATGGCTGAAAGGAAGAGGCATAAACTACAACTACCATAAACAGTGGCCAAATAAAGTGGAAACTAATGACATGCTATGTATTTTACCTTAAAGGGGAGATATGTAGGCTGTCGCTTTTGGTATTTACCATATGGCAACTGTTTAAAATAGTTCTGGAAATACCTCTGGTTATCATTCCATTTTCTAATACTACTTCCCAAAATTTTTAGTTTGAATTAGCATGTATATTTTATGTAAGCCGTTATTTAAAACAGGTTTCTAGAGACAAAACCACTTGCATTGACATCATAGTATCCAAACTCAGCTAAGATGCAATATTTACACAAAGTTTCTTGGGCACCCCTCTCTGCTACTTACAGTCAGAGTTCTCTCCAGTTTGCCGGTCACTGTACTGAAACAGTAGAGCACAAAGTCTTCACCCACACAGTAGATCCACTCGCCTCGAGGAGAAAGGGCACAGCAGACAAAGTCACCGCCTTCTCTTTTACCAGAGCTGAAGCTTCTCACAATCTATCAAAGTAGAAAAGTCAGGCTCTCACTGTAATGATTTTGAGGGGACTAGAGAATGCCAACCTTTGTGAGACGGGTGTAAAACTCATCGAGGGCCACATAAGCTTTATGGCAGCCTTCAAAGGGCCACAAAATCCATGGATTCAGAGGGAAACACACACACAGAGTGGTTGGTGTACTTTAATTTTTACCCAATTTGGGTCCCCAGATGTTATTGAACAACAACTCCCATCACTTTTGATTATCCTCATGGAGGACTGAGGATAAGGGGAATTGCAACCGAATACCATTTGTGGCTCTGAGGTTGGGAAAATTTTAAAGGACATGTTAAAGTCAGACATTCTATCTACAAGCTTTGAGTCTAAATTCAAACTCCATTATCCTGACTAAGACTGGTAGGCAAATGGAAGATGGAAAAAATGCTGCATTTATCCTCTTAATGCAGCATGATGACTAGAGGGGTGGGGGAAACTATGCATTGCACAGCCCAGTAGATATCAATAGAAAAA